GATACCAGGCTTAGGGCAAGACTAACTCTAAAACACAGCTGGAAGGCAAACCGAAAGGCGTTCCCCATTCACAGCACAGTCCTGAAATCTGGCAGGCCCCTTTACTTGCATCAGTGGGAGTTTTTACTCCGATAAATAATGCAGAATGAATGAACCTCCGAAAGGGTCCTAAAAGTTGACAACTAATATACTGCTACTGTTGAAATTTCATCCCCCCCGCGTCTGATTTCTAGAAACTAGAAATGAGACATGAAGGACAATAATGAGTTTAAGGTTATACTAAATAACCAAGATCACAGCTTGTCTCTCGGTTTTAGATCAAGCCTTATTCATTTGGTCTTCAGTTCTGAGTGAGGCAAGTAGCAAGTGTCCAAAGTTTTGCCTCCCCAGTAAGACAATATGTTCTATATGTTGTGCACACACTGGTTCCGATCATGATTTATGTCGCGGAGGGGGAGGACTTCTAAAAGTACCTGCATGCTAGAATCAGTGCAAAAGGCACGAGATTACATATGTGCAAACTCTACAGAGCTGCATTTTTGCTGATCTTGTAGCAAAAACTGCCTGATTCTTATCCAGCCCTGTAATTTCAGGAGGGCATGATACACCTGTGCTCCTCCAAGCCTTCGGGTATGGTACATGGGAAGATGTTTCGATCAATCACTAGGTTCTGAGGCTCCTCTCTAGCTGCTGCTATCGAATTCAGCAGCAGCTAAAAACACTTTGTGGTTGTTTAAAATTCGGCACTACAAAAATAATTCCACTTCACTTTCCCCTGAGTTTGTGGAGTAGCTGCTGTTTACCCGCGTCTTGTGTGAAACCTGGAGTTCTATCTGCTAAACACACATGCGGCTGGAATCTACATTGCGAATCTATTTATCCCAAGTTCCATCCAGTCAAGCCTCCTAATGAAAATCAGAGAAGAGTGGATGCAGGTGAAACATACTCACTTCTTCTCGGGTAACAGGGCACCAGAGCTATACAAAAATAAACCACCCTATTTCAATAACACGCATCAGCTGAAATCATTGTTTGACAATGTATTCCCTACTTCTTTCCAAGCACAATTAAATGCAATAGTTTTCTTTTTCCCCACAGTGCAGCTGATCATTTTTGTAGCTGCTGCGGGATACAGTTTGTAGAGGAACTAGGTCTGCGATTGCGGATATCTTCCTATTTAGCAGAGCCAACTCATCCTGCGATCGTTCCTCAGGCAAAATTCTCATGGAAACCGATGGGAATCTTGCTCGAGTGGATTTGCCTTTTCTGTTGTGTGGTTGCAGCTACGCAGAGGTTCCAGCTGCAGGAACCAGGTTGCTGCTCATCTCCGCTGCAGTGTCCCCGAGACACAAAATCACGCAAGCGGCTATCCGTATCCTCATTTATCCGGAGGTGCTTTCCGAAAATATAAACGGACACAGTACTAAAGGCCTAAGCCTGCACCATTGAAATCAATGGGAGTTTTGCCGTTGATTTCAATGAGTCCAGGATTGAACTTTTATTTTGCACGATATATCACTATTTGCAGCTTGACACAACTAGGACTTATTAAAGAAATCCAGATCACTAACCTCTAATTTCAAATATGTCTAAACAAGTTTGTTATGATCTGAAAAGACCGCTTGGGTGTGATACTTATAACTATGATGTAGCCTATTGTTCTTTAGCTTTATGCATATATACCAAAAAAACATGCTGCTCTTACGAATTCATTTGTTGTGCTATTCGTATTTGTGCTCTTTCTACACACACTTATTCGAAATGGTTACATTACTCTACATTACGAAATAAAATAACGACTACTTTCATCAACGTGTAGCAGCTTCTGCAGTGGAACTTGTCTGATTGAAGCATGACACTATTTGGTGTGATTTAAAGAAATAACTTTTTATTTTGACTCTTTCATTAGCAAACCTAATAAGTAAAACATTGTTGTCGCTTAATATTATGGAGATGTGGCAAGACATTGGAAGCCAGCTTTAGCTTTTAGCAGGGCCGCCCAGAGGGGGGGGCAAGTGGGGCAATTTGCCCCGGGCCCCACAGGGGCCCCAACGAGAATGTAGTATTCTATCGTATTGCAACTTTTTTTATGGAAGGGGCCCCCAAAATTGGTTTGGCCCCCAGACCCCGTGAATCTTCTGGGCAGCCCTGTCTTTCAGCTGGAAAGAAATTGGACATCTGCATTCCTACAGTACGTGAAAGGAGTGTGTGCCTTGCCACAGAATTTCCGAATCGCTGACTAGGTTCCTCTTTCGTTCACCTGTGAAATATACAAAATGTTCGCCTTAATTTAATAGAAGTTCCCTCCTTCCTTTAAATAGGGAAATAAATCCTGAAGCCAGCAAGGGTCCCGTTTCTCCTCTTCTGCTAACAACGGCACCCCCCAAAAAATCCCATTAACTACTTTGTTCAACTGTTTAGTGTGTGTCCTTTTAGCTGTATAAAACTTTGGGGGTTGTGTAATATTTTTCACACAAAAATAATTGCGATCTGCAAGGAGACTCTTCCTTCTCCATTGCAGAAAAGGCCCCGGTTCCCTCCCTTAATGGATTCAAGAGACATTTTCTTTCCTGAAATCTGACAGAGATTAGGGAAAGAATTGTAATGCCTGCATCTGTAATTTTCACTCCATACATCTAAAGAAGTGTTTTTTTTACGCAGGAAAGCTTATGCCCAAATAAATCTGTTAGTCTTTAAGGAGCTACCAGACTCCTTGTTGTTTTTGTGGATACAGACTAACACGGCTACCGCTTGATACTTGACAAGTTCAGCATAACCTTCCCGGGCTGGAACTGCCAGCGGTAGCGAAGCATTTGTAGCAGATGCCAGCCATCTTTCCACGGGCAAAACTCTCCAGTGAAGTCAATGGCGTTTTTGCCAGAGTTAAGGCTCATAAGAACGTTCTTTCTTAACTAGGCAATTTCCACACGCCAAGAAATTGATGTCAATAGCAAAGCGCCCATTGATTAACGGAAGAAGGGCTGGATCCAAAACAATGAAGGCCAGAGAGCCCCTCCTAGCCCCACTTGGAGAAGTATTCGTTGCAGTTTCAACTGTGCTGGGAGGGAGGGAAGGTCAGTTGTCTCTAGTGCTAGTGGCTTTAGAATCGTGGAAAATCCTCTCAGGGGAACAAGCAAGTTCACGGCCGATGCCGTAGGGAGCCCAAGGAAAAGTTATTGCTGTCTGAGTCTGCCCTAACTTTACAGCAGAGCCCCTTGTGCTAAGGACCCAATCCCCTTGAGATGGAATGTCAGGGGGAGAAGCCTTCAGAGCAACTCCATCCACAGAGAATGCCCTGAGACGTCAGGCACAGATTGCCCTGGGCTCCCGTGGATTGAGCTGGGCTGCGGGCCAGATGCTTTGTTAGGCTGCTGAGGGGACTGAGAGGATCTGTCCAGGAAGGAGTGGATCCTGTTGGGTTTGGTTTAAATGTCAAGCACTTACTCTCCCTCGCATGATCATATCATTGAAGGGAAGCACTGAGCAGTCATTCAAAAGAACATAATGCTACAGAATGGAAGTGCCCGTGAAAATATGGCGAGACTGTTCTCCCTGCGGAGCACATATAACAGGTGAAATAGTTGTAATTAAGGCGCGTGGTTCGCCACTGCCTTGCGCCCCTGGAGTCATTTGCACCTGTGCAAAGTGAATGTAAAACCTATTGTCAGTGTAAGTGGAAAACTCTTATTTGGTAGCATTTTTTACCACTTTCCACAGGCGTAATCAGGCCCAATGTATATTTATTTTACTTAAAAAAAACCCCAAAACAACTTTTCAAGGCGCCTCCTGAGTAGTTTAAGCGGGCTCACGTGTTATTTATTTAGTATCAGATTGAAAGAACACAATCAATTTGGAAATAGTCTGCAAATTTTGTATTTAGTATAGTTGCACGTGGCCCTTAAAGTTTCTAAAACTGAAAGATTAGCAAAAATATTTTCTCATCTTTTTCAGTTTGTTTACTTTGTGTAGAGCTGGTTTCATTGTTTCTCTTCCTAATCAGTTAAAGCCTAATCCTGCAATTAAACACCTGCATAAATTTACTTCAACATTGGCTTCAATGGAACCCATATAAATGAAGTCAGGCACGTGCTTAAAGTGTTTTCAAATCGAAGGCTTTGCTCCTACAAAATATTTCATGGGTTTGATCAGTAGTTCTTCAGAACCAATATAATTACAAATCCATGGGCCTCTTCCGCCAATTAACTGCTGGGAGTACTCCGTATGAATGAGTAGTCCCATTGAAGCCAAGGATTGGTGTTTAGGCTCCTTGTTCTGGAGTTGGTTGCATTGTAAAGGTTAGTGCAGTAACATCTACATGAGCTCTCTATTGTGCAACTCTCCCCACGCGCAAGACTCAGTTAATCAAAACCTCTGTAATTGCACAATTAGTAACCTACTTTGAGATACTGCTGAATTCATTACACAGAATTACCATGCTTCCCCCATATAACAAGTTTGCAAATCATTGGTCAAATCTTGTAGTCCTACTGCAGCCTCCATGTTCCTCTTGGCTTAGCGGAGGGGAACCTGCCCCCAAATCACACACCCCTACGGTGGAAGGGAGAAATACCCCTTCAGTTCTTGCCTATCCTCTTCCCTCCCCGTGGAAACCAGCCCTCACTGTAAGTTCTCTGTGAGGAGATCTCTGTCCCCAGCTGCAAGTTCCCTGCGATGCAGATCCCGCAGCGTGCTCCCAGAGGCTTAGCCCCCCGGGGTTGGTCTCCAGTCCTACCCCTCTGGAGGAGCGTAAAGCGCCATGCCCGCTGGTCAGGCTAGAGATACGCTCAGTAGCGAGAAGCGCCCTCAGATCTCCCAAGGCGGATTATCTCTGGACTCCCCTTTCCCAGCACTGGGTCCCTGTTCCCTCGAGCGAGGCAGGGGGCGCCCCGGGCTCCATAACCAACTGCACCTGGGCAGTACACGAGGGCTGCTCGGCGTCTCATTAAGGGTGCAGCTGGGTGGCTTATGGTCGCCTCTTCCCTTTTACGGGGATTTGCACCATGTTGAAGGTAAGTGAGCGGTGCCGGAGATCGAGCTGGGGAAATGGCCTTGTCCCTGCCCCATGGATCAGCTTCTCTAGTTCCCTAGCTGACGGTGGCTTATGTTTCTCCCTCCAATCTCTTCTCCCCCTATTCCTGTTTGGCGGGGCGGGAGGTGTTCGTTCTCTCTCTCTCCTTCCTCTTCCCACCTCTCCATGGGGCTGTCCTTTGCCTCTTGTGGCAGGTAAAGGGGAGTCTTACTTCTCCAAGTCTCCTCCTCTCAAGTGCAAAAGGGACCGGCCTTCTGCCCTGGGCCCCTCTCCAATTCCCTTCCTTTGCTCTTAGTTCCCTTTGCCTAGGAAAGGGGCTCTAGTTCTGCCCAGCCTTATGTCAGGTTCCCTGCTCAACTGGGACTAGTCCACACTCAAAACCCAGGGTTAGGTCACCTTAAATCTAAAGCCAGTTTTATTCTCTAGCTCTAACTGGCTTTAAAATCGATTATCACATCGCCCCCAACCCTCGGTGTCTATCCAGTGGTATGGTTTTAAGGTCTGATCCCTGTTGTTCATCCCTTTCAAATCATACTCTTCTTCTCTCTTTCCCCCGCCCCTCAAAGGCAACGAAGGATCCTTGTAGGCATGCTACCCCACGCAGTTTTAAGTGCAACGTTGTCCCCCGGCTCTCTTGGGCTGCGCTATAAGGATGTTGATTTACCATCTCATGTCCCCACTGCAAAGATCTGTCTCTGGTTAAACAAAAATATGGTACAGGAACCATGGTGTCAATAAAGGCTATTTATGAAATAAAAACTATCCCTCAATTTAGTGTCTAGCCTTTGGTGTGACCTAAAGGCCAAAAGTTTTTGGCTCTGTAAGAAATCAGGGGAGTGAATTCCAGAGCCGAGAGCTCTTCCCTGTTTGTCCTTGGATATTAAAATCTGCTACTGAATTCAAGAGTCCCAACTGCTGTGATGATGGGGAAAGGGAGGGAGGAGAGAGCCACTGGTAGCCAGAGCTTGAGCCATTTTTACTTTCCTTTGGAGTCTCAGCAACAAATCTCTCGTTTATCTAGTTACATACTATCCGGGGTATTCTGGTAACTCAGTGCTTGGTTCTTTCTCTTAAGTAATTAATAATTAATAAAAACCTGATTAATGCTTTACTAAGGAAACATCACATGTACAAAAAGGGCTCTGTTTAAAGTTCGTGTAAGTCAGATGTTCATTTATTAGAAGAAAAAAACCTTGGTGCTGTAACACCCTGGAACTAACGTCCTGCGTTATTCCTTAGCCATGTTTAGTAAATCTACAGCAATACTGGGATTACTTGCCTCAGTAAGGGTTGCAAGATTGATCCCTTTGTGGAGCATTTTCTTTCTGCTGATGAATGGAGCCACCAAAAGGAAAAAAACAAACAAACATTAGAATGTCATTGTGGCTGTATCGTTTCTTGAATGCTGCTAACGATTCATCTGGTCGGTTAATTTCATCATGTGTTACAGAAACAAGGCTTCTTCTAAGGAAGGTTTACTTTTTTTCCTGGCTTTTATTTTTTAATTAAGATTTCTGTAGCGTTTAGAGCAAAATTTAAATATGGATTCATTCTGTAAATGAAAGTTTACCACTATTTGGGAAATCGTAACTATAAAACTTACGTTGGTTCTGTAAATAGGTAACAAGACTTTTATTCCACATACATTGGTTGTCTTTGTTTTGGTGGATTCTTACAGTTACAACTGCTGTAGTTCCCCCCCCTCCCCCCCCCCCCCCGCCTGGTTGTGGAAACTCTTATGATGGAGCTGAGGCTGGGGAGGGAATAATTGAGTTTGGAATTTTTGGTTGTAAAACTGAATAGTTGCAGAGTGATCTATAATGGAATGAGAACTTGGCTTGTCATATTTATAATTGTGTGTTAGTGATTTAGTTATTACTTTTAAGCAATGGTCGTTTGACAGATGGGGAGAAATTTTGAAATAGTGTCTTAAAAACATGCAAGTAAAAATAGTTGATCAAAAGAGATTTTTATAACAAAGTACATTTTTTCACTTTTTGAGCAGCAATGAGTGCCTTTTTCTCCCTTTTCATTTAAAGGAGGAAGAAAGTCAAGAACAGAGCAGTGAGATAAAGGAAAACATGGCATCCAGAACAGAATACTATGTAAATAACCCTCTCCAAATTTTCACCTTCTTTTGAAAGCCATTACTGACATGACCTTATATACATCAATTTTCAACATACTCTCAAATTCCTAATTTTATGTGGTCAAAGAAGTGAATACATAATGACATACATTTTCCATTTCCATCAGTTTGTATATGTAATAGAACAGTAGTCCGCAACCTTTCAGAAGTGGTGTGCTGAGTCTTCATTTATTCACTTTAAATTAAAGTTTCGCGTGCCAGTAATATATTTTAATGTTTTTAGAAGGTCTCTTTCTATAAGTCTATAATATATAATTAAATGATTACTTTACATCAAACAAATAAGGTTTTTAAAATGTTTAAGAAGCTTCATTTAAAATGACATTAAAATGCAGAGCCCCCCAGATCGGTGGCCAGGACCCGGGCCATGTGAGTCCCACTGAAAATCAGCTTGCGTGCCGCCTTTGGCACACATGCCATAGGTTGCCTA